ACCTCAAAGAAGCTTGGTTATACATCCATCACTGGGACCATCAATGTTGGCGGCGAACATTCGTCACAGGTTTGAGCCATTTTTAACCCGCTCAAATTTCACGTTGCAAAATAAAGTTTCAGAATACTGTGGTAGTTCGTGTTGTGTCATTGGCTGGCATCAAAGCCGTTGCTAGCACTTATATGACCGAAAAGGGAGGACGCGTGTGGGTCAGGGTGAACGGTTTGGATCAAGATGAGACACCATTCGCCTTCGGTGGAGCCTTGTATCCGTTCAAGGTAAGTTTTTGTCTAGCAGTCTCACTAAGCAAGCCCTTTGTGCCAATTGCTAATCATCTACATTGTCTGTGGAACGCCTTTCTGTGGGAGTTATGCGTGTTTCTTTTGGAAAATTTGATGGTACGGTGAAGTAAAAAAATTCAAAAAAAGTGCGCTTCAATGGAGTGATGATATTTGTCAGAACCGCGTTTGCAGTATTCTTACAGTACCTCAAGCCTACCACTTCTCCATTCTAGCAAAGGGGAGATCGTTTTGAACAGTTTTACTTTATCCGCGCGCTCAGATTTTTAGCCTAAGGAACGCCCGTAGCTCCTCCTGGGCAAGGTGAGGTGCCGCAAATAAAAAAAGTAAATTTGTGATCGGCATGTTATGCCGCGTCTGATGATGTGCATTCGAACGAGTTCTTCGGGTAAAAGGGCTTCTTGGTAAGGTTCCTTTTTCATATTGATAATGTAGGTTACCTGGACTGTGAGCCATCCGGGAGTATTGCAAACGGTTCATCCCTTCGGTTCCTCGATAACAGAAAAGGATGAAAATCGGTTTGCCATATGGTTAGAAGGAGGAGCAGTGGGCTCAGCTACTGTAAAGGTCTGTTTTGAATTGATGTTGGGGATATATGGAAATTTATCATGGTTTTAAGGTCCGAGTGGAGCCATCTGCAAGTGCTAAACAACACTTTATCGGTAAGAAGCAGGCGTTTGAAGATACGGTAGAAATACGAGTAGAAGAACCTCTATCAATGAGACGGCCAGAAATGCCTATACCTGTCATTAGATTAGCCCAAAATAGCGAAATACAACTCGAGACAGCTTGGTACGTCTTCGAATATCAGCTGAGATATCCAATAATCTTACTTTTTTGTTCAGGCCACAATCTGCCGTGGCGTATTCTGTGCCTTCTGAATATGCCAATCGTCTTTCTGTCACGAAAACGGGCGTTGCCCGCGCAAAATCTTCAGTGGGACCTGCAGCCGTTTACATTCGAAGAACGGATCAACCTGACAATGAAACCGCCTTAATACCCATAACAATCGCTGTCGTCAGTTCCTTGGACGTCAAGTTGCTCACGGAATTGGAGCCAGTTTCATCTACACCGCTTTTGAACCTACCAGTCGGGGCGAAGATTGCGCTTAGAGTGCTGTTCCGTGATTCGAGAGGAAGAGAACTCAGTTCATCGTCGAAATTGAGCTATAGACCGCATAGGTAAGAAAATATTTTATCTTGTTTCAGAAAATAGAAATGATTTTAGGTTTGACCTCACCGACATTGTCCCATCCGACGCGAATCGCACACTTACAGTATCCTTGAAGTCTGTGGGTGAAACCGTTCTCAAGGTACCTCTTGCTAAACTTTTTCCAGAATTCCAATTCAATTTTTATATCTATGCCAATTTATCACCAATTTATCACAATTTCTATTAAGTTGTTACGTAAATTT